CACTGTTACAGCGACTCGACTTGTAAATTCCGTTTGGGCCTTGCCGCGGGCCATGCTCCTCTTCCGATGATTTGACGGAATGAGAGTCAGATGGAATCCAGCCGCCAGCAGACTCACCCCGAAGGGCGGCTTCTGTCTCACTCGCACTCACGCTGCCAGCGGGGCGCTGGAGTGCGAAGACAAAGCGGCTGTTTACAGTCTTTACTGGGATTATGTCATTTTTAATTTATTTTATTTTTTTTGTCCAAGTAAGTAGTTATTCCCGGTGTAGGCGCTCCGGACGTGATGAGGGATAATTAAATGGCAATGGAGTGCCTTTGCCGGCGACGCGGGGACGCGGGGACGCCGGATCCAAAATCTAGGCTAGATGGTTCCCAGATAGGTCCACTGCCACGGGCGCTGCCGGGCGCTGCCATGGCCACTGCCCCTGCACCGTGTGTTCACAATTTAATTAGGCCCCTTAATGACGGGGACGACGCGAAGTAGTGCACCGCGCTGCACGCTGCTGGCACACTGCACCCCAAGTAGGCCACGGTTGCGGGGAAGCAGGTCTCGTACTACACCTGATGTCGTCGTGTGGCTTCCACGGCTTCCACCGGCGCGCGAGTTTCAAGGTTTTGCAGTCAATTTTTCTTCCAACTTTGTAGTTAATTTTTTCCAGTGCCCCCACCCCTTGCCGGTGCTTTGTCCGATAAAAACGGCATGCATGTATGCGTGTCGCATGCAGTGCCGTGTTCTCCCTCAAGGAGAGCCAAATGTACTCCGGCGGGATGTACGCTGTAAGGCTGTAACGGCGCGCCGGCGCGCAGATCGCACTATCACCCTGGCGCGCCCCGGCGGTCGGTGTGGCCCCCGTGCAATAATGTATTTATTTGTATGCAGGGGAGTTTTATCTAGTCCGGAATATCCAATTGGCTGCTATCATGCCGGCCGCACGCGTTGTGGAGGCGCGGCTCGCCACGGCCCGGGGGGCAGGCCGGCGGGGCGGCCGCCACGCCATGAGCCACGCCATGGGCCACGCTGATTGGTCGGACTCGCCTCAGCGAGCTGCCTTGACGTGCCGGCCGCGCTGCCAACGGAACGGAGCCACCCTTTCTGAGACGGACGCACTGCCCCGGGTTCGAATACCCGAACAACCTCGCTTTTTCCTGATTCCTCTCAGCTGAGGCCACTTCTCCTCCTTCCGGGGGATTTATTGCGGACAGACCGCGGCGTCGCCATTTTCATTTTCCGATGCTTTTGCGCGAGAAATTCAACTCTTTTCCCGGGCGGACACGCTGACTGCGGCTGACTATGCACTCGCGGCAACACCGCCGTAACTGCCTGGGAGCGGCCTTGCAGTGGCGTGGCTGTGCGGCGGGGCGCATCCTTTTGTGCGCCACCCCCTCCCCCGCCTCAGCCTTCGGGCTTCTGGCCGCTCCCGCGATCCGCACAAATCTTATTGACTTAAAAGTTTAATTTGTGCCAGCCTAATTATAAGGCGGTTAAGAAAGAGCGGCGCGCTGGTGGCCGAACTAAACGGGGGGGAAACAACTGGAAAACAACTTTGGGGCGGCGGGCGGCGGCGCCCGGCCCGGCCCGGCTGAGTGATCGAAGATTACCGAAAAGCTTTGATTCGGTTCAAAATAAATTCCCGCGGCCCGTCTCGAACCGTGTTCTGTGACTGCTCCTCTCGCAGTGCTTCTCCAGGCTTCTCCAGGCTCTCCTTCCAGTGGCGGCGGCGGCGCCTTCCAGGCTTCCAGCAAAAAAGACGAGGATCGATTGGCGTCTGAGTGGCAGCGACGTAAGCCCGGCGTAAGCCCGCTAATAGGATCACACTCCGGGCAAGGGGGAGGGGGAGGGGGTCATCGCGCCGTGAAGTGTCATGCCACGCGTCGTGGTCACCTTTTTGTTGTTGTTTTTTTTTTTTTTTTGCTCGCCTGTTTTGTTGAAAACACTTGTCTCGGCGACGCCACGCCTCGGCCTGGCGGCGGACCAGCGGGGCCAGCGGACAGTGGCCCGACTCCATTAGACCACGCCGCTCACGCCCAGCCACTCCACTCATAAATAAATCAATTCGATCAATCAGTCGACACCATGCACGATTTGCTGGACGGGTGTCGCGCTTATTGGCCGGCCCGGCCGGACAGAAAAGTCAGACAGACAGACAGACAGACAGACGGGCGGACGGGAGGGCTGCGGCACGCGATGGTCATCCTCTTCTTGATCTGGTGTGCGAGAGAGACGGATGAGTCCGAGCCCAGATAATGACCTTTGTGCTGCGCGGCAACAGCAAGCAGGATCAGGAAGCCGCGGATGCATTCGCGGGGCGTCGTCTCACTCGCTCTGTTTCCGTCCCACCCTCGTTTTTTTGCGGCGTTCTCTCTCTCTCTCTCTCTCTCTCTCTCTCTCTCTCTCTCTCTCTCTCTCTCTCTCTCTCTCTCTCTCTCTCTCTCTCTCTCTGCACCAACGCGTTACGACGTCTGCCCGACTCGACAAGTCTGCTCTCGATAAGTTCCGTTCCGTCCCCCAGCGGGGATTTCTCTCTCTCTTGCTCTCTCACTCCCCCCTTTGCGGCAGCGTCTGGACCAAATCCGGCTGCAGAGCGTTGTCATCCCGAGTCAATCCTCGAGGCATCGGACGGAATAAGAGTCCTGCTACTTTTCGGCGCCCATACAGCCTTTGTCACTCACCGCCTCACCACTGCACTCTCCGACTTGGGTCCGCCCATGGTTCGCCGAGAGAGAGATCCGAAATGCCAAAAAAAAATATATTTTTTCGAAAATTCACTTTGTTGTTTTGGACTGGTGAACGTCCTGCTGCATTTCGACCTCGCGGTTATGAATGAACGGGGCCAGCTGGCTGATTCCGAGAGTCGCTTTCGTCGCTCTGTCTCTCTCGCACTCACGGGCGGTCCGTAGGGGTGCGAGAGAGACAGAGCGACCGGCGGCAAGGCGTCTGGCTCATTCCGCGCGTCCACTCGAAGCCCGCCAGCGGACTGGCACTTGCTGTCAATGAGCATCGAATCGGTGTCAATGAGGAGCCAGTGATGAGCCGAGCCAGCCAGCGCCGGAGCCGCGCCGCAGCCCGCCTAAATATACCCGGGGCCCCAGCTGGGGACATCCTGTGTGAGTCATTAAAGCGGGGCAAAAAAGCGCAGCGCCCCTTTCAGCCACTTTCAGCGCGCTTCGCACCCGTTATATTTGTCGAGATAAAATGGTGCTTTTTATTGAGATTGGCTGGACGCACGGGTAGCGCCGCCGTGACGCGCGTTTCGGAGATCGAAGCTCCACCGTCCATTCGACCGACCGTTTATCATTTTTTTATTTTTTTTTACGCTTCCCCAGAAGTGAGGCCCGCGCTATCAAGCTCACACCGACGCGGGCCGACGCGGGCCGTCGTCTGGCCTCGGCGGCTCCGACGTCTCGGACGTCTCGGACACGGCGGCGGCCGTCAGCGTTCGCCCGAGTGTTGTGTGGTCCAGGAATAAAATAATAAAATGATAAAAAGGCAGCATTCGGGACGGGCAGAGTGTCGAGAGACGGCCGGGAGACCATCGCGGCCTCGGATCTCGTATTAATATACGCGAGCCGCGCTTGCTCGCTTATCAGATGATTGATACGTGTGTGTGTGTGTGTGTGTGTGTGTGTGTGTGTGTGTGTGTGTGTGTCCAGGTCGTTGTCGAGTCCGCTGATCTGCTTTCCATCTGACCGCCCCGTGTGTGGCATCACGCTTGCGCCCATTGATCGGACTGATCCTTGCCCCCCCCCCCTCCCTCTTTCTCCACCGTCGTCTTCCTACACCACTTTTCTGTCCATCCATCCCTCTCTCTCTCTCTCTGGCTTTCCTTCTCAGTGATCGCTGCCTGCTGCACTGCGCTGTCACTCGGGGGAGTCTTGGGGCGAGGACCGAACAACCCTGGCGGCTGCAGAGCGGTTCCGAACGCCGCTCTGGCTGTCTCTCTCGCACTCGCGGGGCGCTGCGTGCGCGTGCGAGAGAGACAGAGCGACGGCGCGTGCAGCTCGACCCTTTTTGCAGTTGTATCTGCGGGGCGGGTCGGCGCTGTTACGCGACTCTGGCAGGCTGTCTGTCTCCCTCGCACTCGCGGCGCGTCCCCGTAGGCCGTAGGGGTGCGAGGGAGACAGACAGGGATCGGACTGCTGGCGGCTAGATTGGCCGGGGAGTCGCTAATTCCGGGTGACGGACAGCTCAAAGGGGGGGGGGGGAGCACCGAGGGGAACCAGAACACCAACACCAGGGGCACCGACGAGGACGGGCTGCGCAGTGTGCGCACCCCGAAGTAAAGGCCCCAAGGCCTGAACCAACAGAGCGCCTCACCGCCCCGGCCATTCTTTGCGCCTTTTAACTTTTGCTGCGGCGCGTTTTCGTGTTTTCGCGGCGAGGGGAGTGACGGAGTGACGGAGTGACGGAGTGACGCTGGAGGGACGGCACCACACTGTGGCTTTGGCAGCTGGATAGGAATCAGGCATCGCACTCTAAATAAATATTTGTCCGCTCGTTTCGCAGCCCGCAGTCAATGGCGAACCGGCGCGGCGACATCTTATCCAACACTTGACGTGCACGCCGAACATGGCGTCCATCTCTCTCGCACTCGTTGGGCGGGCCGTAGGGGTGCGAGAGAGAGGCCGCTGCAGGGGCGGCCGCGTGAGGGTTGCAAATAATTGCGCAAAGCTGTACGAAGGCAGCCCAAGAGGCAGCCGGCCATTTCGTCGGGGACGGTCGGGAATGGGGCGTATGTTTGCCTCCTTGCGCTCAAACAGCGGCAGTGCCGAGGCAGCGCGGCAGTGTGTTCTGCATGGAAGGAGAGGGCTAATTTGCTTCGTTTTCTGCCTAGCAAGTTGGCGGCAGTTGCGTTTGGCAAGAAGAAATGTAACGTCCCACCCGGAAAAAAAATCACCTCAATTAATTTTGCGCATTCATCAACCGCTAAAAAAATTAACTTGATAAACTTCAGATTTTTTTTGTGGATTTTTTAATTTTTTTTCATTTTGTTTGACTAGGAGCAGCTGCCCACTGTCCAGGTTGACGGCATCCTGGAGGCCCTGGCATGCGCGAAGGCTGCCGGCTGCACCCCGAGAAGGCCATCATGCTGCAATGCCTGTTCCAATCATCCCGGTGACGAGACGTCCGGCAGCCCCACGTCATCGCCGTCCTGGGTGTCGTCGTCATCCTGGAGGGTTTGACCCCTGGCGCGCCTCCACTGTGACAGGTTCATTGTCCCCGCGTCCTAGACAATGCCGGTGCAGATTACGTCGTGGGGGATCAGCCGGCCAGGTAACCGAGCGACCGCCGCGCCGCCACCACACGTCGCCGTCGTCAAAAAGTGCGGCCTGTTCCGGGAAGGGCGCGGGGCGGGCGCCCACAGGACTCCGCAATCGGACACATTTTTGCGTGACGAGCTTGTCGTGCTCCCGCTTCGCCGAGCACATCAAGCAGAACCACGGGATTCCCGAGCGACTCGAAGTCGATAAGGCTTGCTCCGGAAAAGTTGCCAACGGCAACTTTCGAAAATGCAGTAATTATTTTGTAACTCTTCAACATTTTTTTACTCAGTTTGACGTGAAATAGCGTAATTCCCTGCTGAATTTTTCCTTTTTGCTTCCGCTCGACTGATGAGCCGGGCCTGTACTGGCCGCCTGCGAAAAGTCCAGCATCTCGCTTCGATATCTCGCTTCGATATCTCGCTTCGATATCTCGATGCAGAAGGAAAAGTTGCACTCGTTTCTAATTAATCGCCGCGGCGCGCCAGTCTTTGCGCGAGGGAGCGGCGAAAGGGCGCGCCGAAGCCATGAAAAGCGGCGCGGAAAGCCCAGCGGAACGCCCAGCAATATTCCACCAGTTTCCGAAAGAAAACAAAAGAGAGCGCAAGTTGGAGCGAAGCGATGTAGTAGTGCGAAAGGCCGAAACGACACTGCCTTCATTATTCAACGTGTTTGATAAAAGTCGCGGGCGATTTCGCGGGTTGTGCCGGCCGAGCTCGCCGGCCCGGAAAGTTCGTCACGGAAAGGGGTCCGCGGTTCTGGAGGCTCTGCGGCGGCTCTGCTGAGTTTGGCCTGGATTATTGTGTCGCGTTTAGTCCCACGGTCCCACGCAAACACAGCCGCGGTCCGGGTGATGGCCCCGCAGGAATTTCAGGGGCCGAGGCACGCCGAGGCACACCGAGCGATAGGTGGGCCACTACGCGGTAAAACCCCATCCACAATCCTTCCAATAATATCACCCTCGGCTGGCTAGGTCAGCTTATTCAAGCATTTATAATTTTTTTTTCGACGAATTATTGTTGTCAACGTGGCGTCGGACTACCGCACCCCACAGGCAGCGCAGGCACACTGTGAAAGAAAAATTAAATAAAGTTGGCGATGAAACGTGGGGTAGATCCGCCGCAACTTTCTGCAGTAAAAGGCGTGTCAGTACAATGGCGACGGTTTATTGGGCCTTTAGGCGAGCAGAATGCCAGCAAATAATTCTTGCGTTGGCACACGTGGCTCGCGGCGCGGCAGTGTCCCGTGTCCTCTTCACTGACCGTCGGGTGGTCCTCCTCGGGAGGGGGCGATATATTTTGATCCCGCGTTTGTGTGTGGACGCCGTGAATGAACGGCTGAGTGAATGAATGAATGAAATTTCCGAAGCACCCACCCACCCACCGGCCGTAGCAGCGACTCCCTCGCAGTCCACTGGAAAAATGCTTCCAGCAACTTCCAGCGCTCAAAGGTTATAGTGTGTCCGGCGATAGTTGCTGGCTGCCTCCGTATTTTCGGTGACCGTGAAGGAGACTCCTCTGGCCGGCCCACACGATGCCCTTGTTCGGCAGCTTGCCGTCACACATCTCCACCGTAACCACCGCGATCCAAAAGCAAAATCCCGCTTCTGCCAGTGTGCCCGCTTGCTAAGGGCGCAAGCGGAAAAGGAAGCAAGCTGGTTTTCCTTCCTCGTTTTTGCGCGCCGTTTGATTGTTTTTGGAAGAATGCCATTCATTTTTTCGCGGTCTGCTGCTCATTACCCCGCTACAACTCCGCGAATGCAATGGAGCGAGGGCCCAGCGGCCGAGGGGCCCAAGGGCTGGCTTTATGCTTCGTTCGGCTGCGCGCCCAACGCACCCACACTGGACAGTCTCGCCATTTCCAAGCGCGCCCAGTAAACTTGTATTTCACCTGACTCCCGCGGAGAGTGGAATAACGAAGAAAACGAAACACCCGAGCAAAAGTGAATGTTGTACTGTACTACGTATATGCGGCGGTCGAAGGCCGACTGCAGGCTGGCTGCCACACTGCCACGGCGACCCACAGGGACACCAAGTCCCAATGGCCAGATTGCCTATTTAGCGAGTTGGTCGTCTATTAGTCCTCTCGGCCTGGCGGGCCAATCAGAGATGACCTCTTGGCTGCCGTATGCGCGGAGCGCGAAGGGACCTTGCCTCATCCGCGCGGCTCAAAGCAGGAAAGTCTCATCTTTGGTGCATGTACGCCACAAGGTCGGAGCCTGCACGTGGGGCCTCGAAGGCGAAAGTGTTGCAGCACGGGGACGCGAACCCGCGACAAGCAGCTGGCCGACCGCAACCGGGATATTTACTTAGAGGCGGGGCTGGCCTTTTCAAAGTGGCGAAGAATTAAAAGCCATACATCAGCTCCACACAGACGCACGCGCACACGGATACGCACACAGGCAGCACACTCGTAGGCACAATCAGGGATCGGGTCACATGCATAAGGCGTTTTGTCACCTTGATTTGTTCGAGTAGCCACAAGCATTCTCTGATTAAAGAGTCCACCCAAAGCTGCTTTGCCGTATTCTCGACTTATGATAATCCCACACGCTGGAAGAGGAGACGTGGAAAAAGCGTCTGTGTGTGTGACCGAGAGGGGGGAAGGGGGGTCGGGAAGGAATTCAATAGACTACCGAACGGAGCAACTTGACAGGTTGTTGGCCCCGTGCTGCCCCTCGCTGCGCCCCGAAAGAAGAAGACGAAGAAGGAAGACTTTTTCATGTTTTCCCCAATTTTTCCGGAGGTCATTGGGCAATTTGGCGCGAGGTAAACCGTTTCCCCCGACGGAGATGGCGTCATTTGAGCCCATATCCCCGCCATAGCCTCCGCTAATAGTTAAATACGACCTTTCATTACAAAGTTTTTCACACGCAGTCCATCTGGTCGCTCGCGGGTCGCTGAAGGCCAAAGCCTCCAGGTGGTAGCAACTTGCCCGGTCATCCCTGGCGGCATTCATGGAAACTTTCACGATTTCATTTAATTTTCCTTTCTTATATTCGCCCCAGTTTGCGAAAGCGTGACCTGCTGAGGTGGAAGACACGGCGGGGGCACCTTTGCTGCCCCGTGAAGTGCCACAGGCGGGTATCGCCCGATTCGTGTTGTTGTTTTTTTTTTTCGAGTGGTCGAGTGAAGTGCTTGCAACATCCGCCATCGCGCTCTGTCGTTGTCCGCGACGGAAACTTTGATGCGCAAGGCGGGTCAATGAAATGCAGCTCAACGCAATGCAATACGTACCACTATCTCGGGGGACATCTCGCAAACTGCGCGCCGCGCATAGGTTCCGTGGGGCCGCTCCGTCGCTCTGTCTCTCTCGCACTCACGCGGCGTCCCGTGCGAGTGCGAGAGAGAGCGATGAAGCACCGTTCGGAGTCGGCCCTCCGTCGCCGCTTCCTACGAATGAAACAGATATATCAAAGAAAGCGCGCAGCGGCCCAGAAACGGGCCCCGCGCCCCCAACAACCGTTTGATGGAAACAGTCGTCATAGATTGGGTTTCTGGCGTTCAGACAATGCATGTTTTTGCAAGCGCCTTTGCCGAGCCTCGCAGTGTCTCCGCCCCGCCGAGTCGCCGGGTGCATCCAGGCGGCATCGGTCTCTGTGGTGCAACCGTGCATGTGCATTGTCTCCTCACTGTAAGCACTGGGCGTCACTTTGTCCGTTCGGTCGCGTCGTCGCGGAAGTGCGGGACCGCTTGCAAATGTCGGCAACGAGCATGGGAATCGTTTTGTAACCGATCGAACAATGCCTCTGGCGCCACTAAACACTGTTTCTTCCAGCTGCTTTTCGATACCTTTTCCTCTCCGAAATTTGGCACACCGTTAGAAATGGCAAGAATTTTCGGTACTTGGGAACCTCGTTGGCTCGCTGATTCAAATTTGTCGCGTTCAAGTGAGTTTCTCCACGGGAAGGGCGTTTTCTACAGAGTCCGGGAAATAATACTTTCCGAATATGCGACTCAACTCGGGGCCCGGGCAACGTGATAGCGAATTTATTGCAATCACAATCATACGCAGATCTCCTCCCCATCTCCAGCACGCCCCGCGCCCAGCCTCGGTTCCAGCGAGCGGTTCCAGTGAGCGGCGCAGATCTGCGGTAGGCCCGCAAACAATAATATCTCGGAATGGGAATGGAAATCACGTCACAGAGCGGGACCAGCGGAGGCAAGTATACGTAGCCCAGGCGTCGTCAGTTCACCAACAAAAATATTTGAGCAAAAGTTGAAATTGTTGTTTTTTTTTGTCGCTGTCTCCCTCTTGGGTGCGCGAGGTGGGGCAGGCCATTCGTAAGTGTAGCAACGAGGGAGACGGAGCGACGGCGGCACGCTTTGGCTGGTAGCCGATCGTCACCGCCGATAGGCGTGCAGTATGTACATCTGCCCCCACATCGCGCCCCGGCCCACCTCAAGAAGCACGTAAGTCGGCGTCGCGCCGAGCGCAGTTACGGTGGATGCGTTTTCCGGTGGCGGGGCGTGGCGGGGCAGGGTCAGGGTTACACAAACGGTACGGCCCCATCCGGACAATTACATGTCCATTGTGACAGTCCGTCTGGGGCTGGCTGGGCTGGCACACTGGCAGTGCTTCGGGGCTGCCGTCCGATTGGCCTGGTCGTGGCGGTGCTTCTGTGTCCCAGTGTCCCTGCGTGAGCCGTGCATCGGATACTTTCCGCATAAGCGCAACATCCGACGCTCTGTTTGGCCGGTGCATCCCGCATGATCGCGTTACTCCGGGGACCGTCCGCCAAGGAACTGTCTCTTTTCAGACTTCTTCTTTCAGCAAGAGCGAGAGAGACAGCACTTCTGCAAAATTTAGCTTGATCAGACTTGCCGTTTGCTTTTAAAAATTTCAAATTAAGTCGACATAACTTCCACTAAAATGCACGACTTTAAGTCAGAAACTTAAAATGCTCCTTTTTTTATTGCAAAAAAAAATAAATTTTAGCGGCGTTGTGATTCACGGACGCGCCCTTACCGGACCGCAATAGGGAAAAGAGAGGCTTTTTACATTGTGGCGACA